ACTTCAATTTCCGATTGATCGAAATTTCTGGAATAAGTGGCTTTTCTGATGAGGTAAGAGGGTCCTCCAGTAAAAAAAAGATTATAACTATGTCGACTAAACGTGTCAAAATAGTATCAAAAGGTGAATCCGAGTTTCTCGCCTGCTGCTTCATAGAAAAAACAAAAGAAAGTGATAAGAAGTCAATTAGAATGGAAGTACGGTAGCAAAAAACTTTGTAACTTGAAAAAGAAACAAGAAGATCTAAAACCATAGAAGAATATAGCGTGAAAATAAAGCCTCCTATCAAAAGCAAAAATTTTAAGATTTGAAACCAACTTCTCAAAGTATGTTTGAACTTGGAGCTCCCATTCCTTCACCATCGTAGTCGTCCACGACCGATGTTTTTCAGCTCGAAAAATTAGCGCTATCAAGCCAACGGACTTCAACGTCCTTCCATCTTCCTCTAGTTCAATACCGAAGAAATTTGGCTAAAGAATACTGACTAATTGACAAATTTTTTGTATCCCTGAAAAACGACTTACAAGAAGACTGAAAGCTTTGTAGAACATCTCAGATGTTGGATAGGCAAGATCTATCCGATTATCAAGCTCGAAACTTGTATTAGCTGCTAGAATACGCATTCCATTCTGGAAAAAGCTTCCAATGCTGATTTTGAATATAGGTAATAAAAATGTAGGAATATCTATACTAACAAAGTATTGCCGCACTGGCTCATTGGCCATACAAAAGCCTCGACAGAATTCGTCGAAAGACTGGTTTCTTCCAAGATCGGCATCATACATGAGGAAATGAGATGAAACGAAGTTGAGAATCTGAAAAGTTTAAATATTCGGATATACACGGATGTTGTTCTGAAAATTGTCCTTATTTGGTAGAATGTAATTTCTGCAGGAAAACGATAATTTTTCAAAGGAAGTGATAAATTTCAATTTTATTTTCTTTTCTATAGCCTCTGTCCTGATGTTGTAATCAGAAAAGTCAACTAAGCTCTCTGCCAAACTCATTTTATGTACGACTTCGCCGATGTTGAGCATCCTTGATCAAGATCTTTGGTAACTGCGCAGTACTAAGTCAAAACGAAAAAAAGTTGCACCAAACGATTTATGGTTGCTTCAGAAATGCACACTCAAAATTTACCGGTTAAGAAACAGCATGGTAATTACCCTTTGATTCACCGAGACCGG